GCGGGCGTGCGGGCGCGGCCGGAAGATGCCATGGACTGCAGCTCGTGCGGACTCTCGTGCAGAGATACGTAAGTGCTGCCCTCGGGAGGACCGGGAACCGGGCGGGAACGGGACCCGGGGAACGGACCCCGCCGCCCCTCGCCCTCCCTGACCCCGCTGCGGCCGCCAGCCCGGGGTCCCCGAAGGCTCGGGCGGCCTCCTGAAGCCGGCGGTCTCCCGGGGGACGAGCAGGACGCAGGGAGGACCGACGGAGTTTGCACCCTCGGGCTTCCGACGGGGGCAGCGCGCCCGCGCTCGGCCCCGGCCCCCACCTGCTCCCGGTGCACAGCCGCGTCCCTCCCGGGAGCCCGCGCTGGGATGGAGTTCGGGGCCCAGGGCTGGAGCGATGTTCAGGCTCGGCCCCCGCCTGTCACTAGTCCAGGCGGATTAGGAGGTTGGGAGGGTTACACTTCTGCAGGGAAAGGCGGTGATTTTTGCGTGTGTGCCACACCACGGGGGGATCCAGCAGTGAAGTTTGGAATCTTACATTTTTCCTGAAAGTAACCAATCAGCTCAGAGACCCCGGGTGTTCCGAAGTCCCCCTGGAATCCACGTTCCGTGGTGACCGGGTGGTGAGGTCAGGGGGAAGGCCGGGAGGGGGAAAGTTAGTTTCGTTCGACATCACACCGAGGGGAAAGCTGCGTGCGGCCGTGACCGCCGGCACTGGGTATCCAAAGGGGGTGTGTGTGCCGAGAGGAAGAAAACGCTCCGGACGGTGTTGTTTCCTGGCCACTGTCTTTCACAAAAGGCTCCTTGTTCCCCAGCGGATGCCGGCCCCTGCCCGGGGTCAGTCGCAGGTTGGAGAAGTCCAGCGCACAGAGGTTTGGGACCCGAAGAGGGCTTTATGATGGGAACTTCGTTTTTACCCTGGTATAGGAATTACCTTAGGCAGCCTTTCATAGTTATGAACTTTCTTTGAGAAGGAGATCTTGGCACAAGGTGAAAGTTTCTTTTCATCCAAGGGGAACCCAAATCAATGCTCTTCTCCTGAATCTAGTCACTATCTAGAAGACTCAGAAGTCTAGGGAGGTTGTGTGCACCTTTCGAAGTCTTCCCTTACGAAAGTCAGTTACCTTCAGTGGAGAGAACTTCTCTCTCTCTCTCTCTTCCTCTCTCTCTCTCTCTCTCTCTCTCTCTCTCTCTCTCTCTCTCTTTCTCGATTCTAGCTTAGCTGATGAAAGACTTATGTTATTTCCCAAAGTCCATATTGTAATGTGAGTGGTAAACATCAAGTGCTACCTTTGTTTGTTTGTTTTTTACAGTAATAAGTTTTAGAAAAATCAATAATAGTGACGATAGGTAACCGGACTTATAAAAGAAATGCTTTCTTGGCCAAGAACATGCTTTTCTCTGTATCACCCCGGAGGTGTGGGTCTCTAGGCCAGTTATTGTCAAACTGCCTCGGTTTCCTCAAAGGGAAAATGCCCCCAAACTATTTTTTCGCATTAATTTTAATCCTCTGCCAACTCTGACATTTTGCAGTAAAAAGAAGGGTTGAGTCGTGAGAAGCAAAGCGCAGTTTGGGCCCCATGAGAGGCGAAGGGTGGGTGGGACATCTTTCCTCTTCCTCTGACCTGGCCCAGGTGCCCTGACTGGTGGGTCTGACCTTCCCACGCGTTCCTGACTCCTTTATCCTGAGACTGGGCAGACGTGTCCAATCTTTGTGTATCTTTTACTCCCTGACTTCCTCCAGGCCTTCGGCTGCTTTTTGTGATATCAATCTATAGAAATGTCAATGTGATTTGCATTTTAAAATTCCCTTTTGCTATGTTATTAGACTTAAGAAAAATTTTTTCTCTCAAATCCAAGTGGTAAATATTTTTTAATGGGCTTTCCCAGCATATGCATTGTTGGTAATGTCCCTGGACTGCAAGTTATGGGATACTATTATTATGTCTACTTTTCTGCACTTTTTTTTTTTCAGTCTGGCCATTTGGCTACTACACTGTATTCACATACAAAGTCATTCATTTCTATGCTATTAAGTTCATGTCCATGCTATTAAACTAATTTGACCTTTCCCAGAAACAGTTATGATCTGTTTTCTGATAATTTGGTTATCTTTCCAAAGGTCCTACAATATAATGTAGGGCCACATTATATTTCCTTTTGCTAGAGGGGAGGAATGTCTGGAGTTGACCATTCATATTTTCTGCAGTTGTGGCTTAAATCCTCTTCTCTGGTAGTGATCACATAGCCAGAATTTCTAGGAGAAAAATAACTCAGCTGCTTCTGATGCATGAGGATTGCCAAACGATAAAGAAGTCCTTAGAAAACATTGCTGTAGGTATTTTATTCTAGGTTAATCCCAAAGAGATAGAATAGACAAATAAATGAGAGAATTCTGTTTCAGGATTGGCTGTATATACAGCCACAGGTTGCATAGCATATATTACTGGTTGTTTGAATGTCTGGCGGGATAGAAGCCATTTAGAGATGTTTGGTATTTATAAATGGCACAGTGCTTATGTATCATGAAGTAGTTTGATTTGTGTGTGTGTGTGTATGTGTTTGTTAATCCTCACCCGAGGCTATTTTTTCCATTGATTTTTAGAGAGAGTGGAAAGGAGAGGGAGAGGGAGAAACATCCATGTGAGAGAGACACATCAATTGGTTGCCTCCCGAATGTGCCCTGAACAGGGCCGGGTATCGAGCCTGCAACCGAGGTATGTGCCCTTGACCGGAATCGAACCTGTGACCCTTCAGTCGGAGGGCTGACGCTTTATCCACTGAGCCAACTGGCTAGGGCTGATCTGTTTGTTAAAGAAATTTTTAACCAAATGGATAAAAACCTAATGTTATCTCCTTTTTGGAGATGTGAGGTAGAAAACAGATTCAGGTATGTAGTTAAAATTCTTAAAGAAACCAGTGTACCTTCTTGAGTTACCTATAGATTCTGTAGGCATAGTTACAATGTAATCTTGGGCAGGTTGCTTCTTTTTCTCTGCCTCAGTTTTCTTATCTGAGAATAATAGGAGTACCCATTTTATAGGGTTATTTTGAGGACTAAGTGAATTAATACAGGCCTGGAGCTAAGAATGGTGCCTGGCTCCGGGGAAGTGCTCAGTGAATTTATCACTACTCGCTGTTAACATAATTTTGTTAATTATGCTGTTAACATAATTTTGGGAAGGTGGGCAAGGAGAGAGCAAGCATTTCTGTTGGTCAGTTAGCAGGGGCCTGGGACGTGGTGAAGAGGTAAACTGGGCGCCCTGCTATTGAGCAGTGTGTAGGCCTCAGATAAGATCTGTCAAACTTTAAAACAAGGTGTGCTAAAATACGACAGGCCAAACAAAAAGTCTACAGGCCACGTTTGGCCGTAAAATTTATTTATGGGTGAGCGTTCTAGGCCTGGACAACCTCACTGGCAGGACGCTTCCTTTCCTCCCTCTCATCCACGCTCCACCTCAGTGATGGCGAACCTTTGGAGCTCAGCGTGCCAGCATTTTGAAAAACCCTAACTTAACTCTGGTGCCGTGTCACATATAGAAATTTTTTGATATTTGCAACCATAGTAAAACAAAGATTTATATTTTTGACATTTATTTTATATATTTAAATGCCATCTAACAAAGAAAAATCAATCAAAAAAATGAGTTCGCTTGTCACCTCTGACATGCGTGTCATAGGTTGGCCATCACTGCTCCACCTTTAGGAGATTTGATTAAAGTTCAGTACATCAAGAGCTTACTTTAGTTGTGTCTCTGTCATTTGTTTTCAATTCTTCAGCCTGGATATTGCTTACTGGTTTTGTTTTGCTGCTTGTCTCAGTTTCTACTTGTTTCCATCTTATAATGTTTGCTTTCTGGGATACTTCCTACATTTTAAGATTTTAAGATAGCAAACTTAAGAAAAACCTGGTGGTTTTCCTTGCTGATAGTAGATATTTGGTTTTGAAGCAGTTTGTTACATCAGGATTTTCTTTATAAGGGAAAAAAAATAAACATTATTAGTCCCTGGAGAAGCATGGCTATGTTAGAGTGCTTTAAACCTTCTAAAAAGTTCAGCCACTTTTATTTTATTTATTTATTTTATTGTCTAAAGTTTTATATATGTCTCCTTTTTCCCCGTTTGACCCCTCCCCCCAAATTCCCACTCCCGAGGGCAAGCCCCCACCACTCCAGTGTCTGTGTCCTTTGGTTATACTAATGTGCATGTATACAAATCCTTTAGTTGATCTCTACTACCCCCCCCCCGCCCCCCCCCCCCCCCCGGTTGACTTTAAGCTTAGGATCTGGATCTATTTTTGGTCATCAGTTTATGTTGATCATTATATTCCACATATGAGTGAGATCATGTGATATTTATCTTTCTCCAACTGGCTTATTTCACTTAGCCTAATGCTCTCCAGTTCCTTCCATGCTGTTGCAAATGGTAAGAGTTATTTCTTTTTTATAGCGGCCTAGTATTCCATTGGGTAGATGTACCAGTGTTTTAATCCACTCATCTGCTGATGGGCACTTAGGTTGTTTCCAAATCTTAGCTATGGTGAATTGTGCTGCTATGAAGTTCAACCACTTTATACATGCACATGTGTCTACTTTTGTTTATTTATTTTTTTTGTCACCAAATGGTACCTGTGAGGTTTCTTGTTCTAAAAGGCAGACTTATTTGTTTGACTCAGTTATAACACTTTGTTTTAAAAACTTAAAAAGCTGCATACTTTTGGAGTTGTCTTTCCTAATTCAGCTTCACATGTTGAAACGGGGGCCTTCCTGTTGTTCAGCTCCTGGAGTCTACACCACCGGATCGCTGAGTTGAGCCACTTTCACCACCAAGGCTTCAGGTGTTTGAAATAGGTGACCCTTAGGCGTATTATCCATGACTAATGGTTGGTCTGGCTCTGGCAGCATAAAGCAAGGCTGTAGTACGGCCTTTAAAGCGTTTACACACGCGTTTACCAAGCCCAATACCTGTTTCCAGGACTCGTGTTTTAACTGGACATTTTAAAGCATCTGCCTAGGTGTATAATTCAACCTTGACATTGCAGCTATTAAGTTAAATTGTTTCTATTGTTTTTTCAAACCCC